AAAACATGAACTGCTGACCTATCTGAAACACTGTTAGTTATTCGTGCGGCTGCTCAGTGCTTTGACCTGTGTCATCGTGTCCCAGGGAGAGCACATGAATCCTCCACGTGGTGAATTCTGTTACGGTGGCCTCCACCTGTCCTCTCACATACTGGAGACTCTGGATTACAGCTGGTTGGTTGTCTGGAGTGCCGATACACACATCTGAGGTGAAGACCTGCTCCACAATGGGCATCTGAGCCCCTATAGCTCCCAGACGGTTGAAGGCCGAACAGCATTCGGTAAAGTAGTTCCTGTGGGAAACAGCAGTGCTGTTGCAATTGTTTTGTATTTCTTGCTGTAATGTTAGACTTGAAAAACGCCAGACAATAACGTCTTACCATGTATGAAGAACACCATCAGAGATTGACTGTGCTGCACAGTCCAGCTCCACCTTCAGGCTCTGCGTCTCCTCCAGCATTGTAGTGACACGCTGATGTAGTTGGCACCATGCAGCGTCACCCCTCCTCATCAAGCAGCCAGGGGGTTGTCGCTGCGCTGCCAGTGGGGATGGACACCTCAGGGTGTGCTGCTTGCAGCTGCTCACCTCCTCCTTCTGAAGGTCTTCGGGGCAGCAGTGCAGCAACCAGGCCAGCTGCTGCAAAAGGGTATTGCACTGGGCTGCGAGCGCTTGGCCCCTCTTCACCCAGTCCTGGAGAGAGGCTTGAGGTGGGAGGGTGCAGCCTGGCTCCTCACTCTGGCTTTGTAGGTGGGCCTTGACGCCCTGGACATTGTCAGTTAGCCTCCTGGGTGAAGTGATAACAATTAGGTTAGATGCTGCAAAGTTTCAATTGCAACATCTTATTTTTTTTAGTTTGATATAAAACGTAAATCTAAAAAGAAATAGTAATGATGTTCTGACTGAATAGGCTGTGATGCACCTGTGCCACAGCAGCCTTTACTTCTAAAAGCAAACCTACACTTTGACATGTTATACTAGCGTACTGACCTGAGATGGACCCACTGTTCAGTGAGTTTGGCCAGCCGTCGCCTCTGTTTGAGGAGCAGCTTGAAGAGGTGAGAGGAGAAACCTCTGCATCGCTCTACATTCCCCAAACCCAGCTCCTACAGCGAACATTGACACACATGCATCACAATGAAGATAACACATGCTAAACTTTAAGTTCCTCATTGTGATGCTTGATTTTCATCTAGTTCATAGGTACAAGTGTAAGTTGTGCATGTCGCACCTTGGCAGCGTGCTGCAGAGCAGTCTGCAGGGCAGTGTTCCTGGCCCAAGACTGATAGAAGTACTTCTGACAGCCATCCCATGCTGTCAGCAACTCAGCAAACAACCTACAATAGGA